TAATCTGCATTCACATTTCCGATTCAAGGAAACTATGAGATAGTTAATGTTAGTTGTTTTAAACTGCCAAGTCTTGGGGTAATATGTTATGCAATAATAATAACTAACACATACATTTACCTACTCTTTTAAAAAAAATCCTGCTCTTCCCAGCTTGCTAAATGTTTCTAAATTCGCCATTTCAGAAAAATCGTATTTTAAAAACTAATGTGGTAAAATTTACTGAAATATTTGGATGTTAAGACATCCTTGCATTTCTCTGCATGATCATGACATATTCTAGTTAGCTAATATTTTCTTTAGAAGTTTTACTTGCCTGTTTATACGTGAAAGCACTCATGATTTTGCTCACTTGCATTGTTTTAACATTACAGTATCCCATAAATACGTTGGTTAATTTTCGGTCCCTTTTCATTTTCTTAAAAAAGAAAAAAGTTTATGAGACAAATGAAGTATTCATCGAAAGTTTGGTTGAATTGACATGTAAAGCCATGTAGACCTAGATTTTTGAAGAAAGGGAGATTTTGACTAAAATTAAAATTTTTATAATATTTAGTAGTGATTTATTTTATCTTTCGTCAACTTTGGCATTTTATGTTTTCCTAGGAATAGATGCATTTCACACGGGCTTTCAAATTTTGTAAGATAGTTGTTCTAATACTTTATTAAAACCTTTTTTGTGTCTTATTTACCCCTTATATTCTGCGTTGTGTTTTTTTATCTTTCCTCTTTTTTTTTGATCAAGCCTTCCAATTTCTTTCTTACTAATATTTTCAAAAAATGGTTTTGTTTTTGTTCATTTTTCTATTTTTATTGTCAGTTATAAATATTTTTCCTTTATCTCTCTCTCTCTGTCTTTTTTTTTTTTTGAGACAGAGTCTTGCTTTGTTGCCTAGGCTGGTGTGCAGTGGTGGGATCTTGGCTCACTACAACCTCCACATCCCAGGTTCAAGCGATTCTTCTGGGCCAGCCTCCTGAGTAGCTGGAATTACAAACACCCACCACCACAACTGGCTAATTTTTGTATTTTCCCTAGAGATAGGGTTTCACCATGTTGGCCAGGTTGGTCTCAAACTACTGACCTCCACCAGCCTTGGTGTCCCAAAGTGCTGGGATTAAAGGCATGAGCCACAGTGCCTGGCCCCTGATCTTTATTATTTCTTTTATTTGTTTCTTTAGGCATTGCTATTTATAATCTCTTTCATCAAACATTTAGTTTGTTTATATTTAGTTATCCTTATTTCCTGATATATGGATTTAAACTATAAATTCCCTAAGTACTACTTCGGTTCTGTCCCACATATTTTGATATGCACTGCTTCTATTGTCACTGTGTTGTAAAATATTTCTTTACTACTCCAATCAGTTCTTTTGAACCCAAGGATTAATAGTATATAATTAATTTCTAAATATATAAGAAATTAGAATTATCTTTCTGTATTAATTTAAAAGTTTATTGCACTGTAGACAGTGAACAAATGCATCATATTTACCTTTGAGATTTGCTGCTGCTGCCTTCATGACTAGATATATGATCTATTTTTTGTTAATGTTCTGTAATGCTCAAAATCAATATGTATTCTTTGTGTGTAGAGTTACATATGTAATCTATTAACTCAAGTGTATTGTTATTTTCTGATCTTTGATTTTTTGCATATAGTTTTGTCTAGTTGCTTTTATTGTTTCTGTGTGGAGTATGTTCAAATATCAAAGTACAGTAGTTTATTTTGTAGTTCTTTTAGTTGCTTGATATAACGCTATACAGTTACCTTTTTTTTTCTTTTATTTTTATTTATTTATTTATTTTTGAGACAGAGTCTGTCTTTTGCCAAGCCGGAGTGCAGTGCCGCGATCTTGGCTCACTGCAGTCTCCGCCTCCCAGGTTCAAGCAATTCTCCTGCCTCAGCTTCCCGAGTAGCTGGGACTACAGGTGCGCACCACTATACCCAGTTAATTTTTGTATTTTTAGTATAGACGGGGTTTCACTGTGTTGACCAGGATGGTCTCCATCTCCTGACCTCATGATCCACCTGCCTCGGCCTCCCAAAGTGCTGGAATTACAGCCCTGAGTCACCACGCCCGGCCTACCATTAACTATATATATGTTATAATGTTTGTAATGCTATGTATTATTTTTGTTGTTCTTTTTTTCAGATATAGCATCATTATCCTTTTCTTATATTGTTTTGCTCTAACTTTTATCAGATATATTTTTTGATTGTTATTTGTCCAGTACATTTTTTCCATCTTTATTATATTTCAACTTTTTGGTTAAGTATGGGTATGGATTTAGAGTGTTTAAAAACTTTATTGAGACTTTTTATATTGCTGAAACCTTTTAAACGAGCTCATGTCTCTTATAAAGGTTATATAAACATTATTCTGATAAAAAATACATCCACTCAGCTCAGATATAAGTAAAAATAGTCCATTTAGAAATGAAAAGACCATAATATTGCAGAGCTAGGTGATTGTCTAGGTTTGTAGTTTTATACAGTAAATTATTTAAAGAATGTATCAAATTTCACTTGATTTCACAATGTGGAGGCTGAACTTGAATCTGATGTATTTCCCAGGTTTGTGAAAAGATATGCAGATGTGAGTGAGAACTTGGAGCTCCTTGAGCCACCTGCTTAGTCATGCTAGTGCAACTGTTGAAAATAAGGGCGCTATTAAAAATTCCCCAGTGAGCCATACCACGGAGTACTACCAGCTGGTAGTTTTCCTGGCATATAACTATGGTTCCGTGCCAGCTGCATTGAGGCAGGGCATGAAAAGCAAGATTAAATCCTAGAAACTAGTAATTACGTTCATGTGCTATGCTAGGTGACTGAGCTCTTTAAATGTAAAGGTTACAACTTGGAAGAAGATAGAAAAGAACCCGGAATAGAGTGTAAAAGCAAATATTTGGTAGATTCTTTTTTCTTCTCATGATTGGTTTTAATTGGATTTAACAAGTGTATATTAAAGGGAGCAAATTATTCCTATTTCAGGCTGCCAGTGTAAGCTAGTATAGATATGTTTTCTGTGAATTATGATAGTTGTATTTCCATTTTCCTTTGTTTAAGCACTGTTTAGATGTATTTTGATGTTTTTAGAGTATGATGTGTTATTTTGAAAATATATATTTGAATGCAGCTTCTCCCTTGTGAATCAATAGTAATAAGTTAAATCAGAAAACACTGTTTCTCTTTATAGCTTGGCCATTCTGGGGCAAGTTACAGGCACTTATTTTGATGTTTTACTTTCAAGTTGTCTAAGCAAATTGGAAATAGTGCATTGAAGGCACTTTCACATGTGATATCTGTTAAATGTCATTTACAATTTATGTATTCTTACACAGAATTTTCCTTTCTATCTTTGAAGACTGATAAATAAAATCTCTCCCCTGCTACTCATTTTTTTCCTGTTTGGCAAAGGGAATATTGAAATATATCTTTTAATACTGTAGATAAACAAGGCTATTATTGTATTATTTTATTCATCAATTTCCATTGTATGTCTACATTTTCTAGCTGCCTCCTTCTTTACAATTACATTTAATTTGGCAGTGAGATGTGTTTATTTTTAATCCAAGTAATTTCTCCTAAAAATAAAATGCCTCTTAACCCCCACCCCTGAAGGTAAGTGGTAAATTGTACAGTCATACTTTTTCATCTATGTATGAGGTATTTACATTAAATATGCATGCCATATATAATATATGCATAGCTGAAAGCAAAAACTGCCACAGTGTCAGAGAGGAATCATTTAAAGATTTTATTCCATAAAACATCTAAAACACTGTAAAGAATTAACTAATCCTGATGCAAAGCAACACAAATATGCAGTTGGCACAGCTTATTTTTGGAAGACAGGGTTTATATATATATGTATGTATTTAGATATGTGTGTGTATATATTATTTTTTCTCAGTAGATCCATATGTCTCATAATAAGCACACACTGCATGAGAGGAAAAGGAGACTAAATACATGCATACATGTAATTTTTATGCTACTGCAGTTGAATGTATTGGCTTCGTCACTTTAATTTTCTTACACCCTTGCTAATTCGTTCAATACCTTTACTCAGTATGGGTCAGCCTAAATATGGTAAGATAGGGGATAAAAAGATTTTTTTTAAATGGAAGAATTGCTCTGATCTGAGGTTCAGCTAATAAACCAGGATAAATCAGAGGCAGGGAGAGGATTGAAGATGTGAGTACATTTAATAAGAATGACCTCTCATATTTGTAAAGCTCTTAACAGATTTCACCCTCATCAGTAACCACTGATATTGTAGATCTCAGAGAGAGTATTTTCAGTGGTGGAACCCTGGTTAATAGGAATTAAGAGATGAGTGAATGGGTAAAAAATCAAGGCAGGGAAAAGACTCTTTTTCTGAGACATTTGCTATTAAAGGAACAATATAAAGAAAGATGACTGGAAGACCAAAAAAGGCACTTTGTTACATTATATTTTGATTCACTAGAATATATTTATGGGTAGAGGAGAAATGCATAAATGAGAAATCGAAGCATAAATATCAAGCTAGAGGAGAAAAGGATTGTGTTCTCTAATAGAGAGAGGGTAAAATGGGAAAAAGAATAAAGAATATGGAGAAATATTTTTAGTTTGGAATAAAAACACCGAGGATGTCAATTTTGTGAGATTCTGTAATTGTAGTGGCAGTGTTTCTCCAGTGAAAGAGAAGATTGAAAAAAATTTAGAACCTGCTAGAGCAGTTTGTAATTGATGTTGTAGGAAACAGCATAGAAATTAAATAAGGGTTGCTGAAAAGTGCAGTTAAGTACTCAACTGATACTGAAGTAAGTGGACACCGTTTAGTGAATTTCACAGCAATGCCTGGCAAAGAGGGAGCAGGAGCTTAGATGGTGTGTGGTATCACTTACTTACGGTTGAAGAAAATGTGAAACCCAGCGAATGTAAAAATTGTTATGTTAAAACAAACTATTTGAATTTATATTTCATTTTGATTTTTAATCTCTGACAGGCAAGAATAAAAGTTTACAAGACTTAACCTCTGCAACCTGGCCACCCAGAGAAGGCATTGGCGCCCTACAAAGTTCTGTGGAAACCAGCTATCATCCAATGCTTTAGGCAACCAATTCTGGTCAGTGACAAGGCTGGGACCCCAGCCCCACATTGTGCCAGGGAAGGAGTTGGTGCTTTATCAGCTGTGAAGGTTGATAGTGTGCTTTCTATATAATGAAGTTTCCGTTACAAAGCTTGAATTCCAACTTCAGCACCCCACCATTGAAGGTATTGCTGTATCCTTATCTGTGAGGGCTAATAAACTATGGTTACGATGTCACACAACTTCAAGTGCATGACTGTTCTTCCATCCCATGACTGTGTCAGGAAAGAGGCTGGTTCTGCAAGGATAAGGTTGGAGTCAATATCTGGCCTGACATATTATTATTGTAACCTGTCTCTTCATCATGCCAGTGGAGGGTGGTTCTTCCCTGATCTTGCAGTCTAAAGGTTCCACAAAAGCCCAGGGCTTCTGTGATCCTCCCCAGAAGCCTGAGGTCTGGTCCTGAAAGATTTCTGTATTTTACCACAGCGTATGAATGGGGCAAAGAGGCCTGAGCACCTGCTATGGATCCTACCTCCTTGAGTTTGCCCAGTGAATGCTGCTCTATCATTCTGGTATATGCGTGTGTGTTGTTTGGCCATTTTCCAATAATCTAAAAAGTCTAAAGACATCATCTCTAGCATGATGAATGGATCTTGGTGATTGGCTAACCAGAGATAGGGAGATAAATCAGGGCCGTGGGGGAATTGATTAGTTTTTACAATAAACAGGTGTCAATGTACTAGGGAAAACAGGAAATCAGTAGGTATAAAGTGGTGGGAGAAGCATAAGGACAGGAGCCTGTAGTCAGAGAGAATAATTTCATGATTTGAACTCATACATGTAAACATTAGTGTATTATATCCAGGTTTAAACTGAAGAGCTGGGAGAAGTAATGAGAAGGCAGCATATTGCAAATGTGTTTTAAAAATTGTGTAAAACTTACTATGTTAAAATTCTAAGAAAAATTTCTTGTCCACAAAGTTATTTATGGTATATATTTCTGGCAGATATTTCTTCTTGGTATTTTTTTGTTTATTATTTCCGGATTCTATTTTTGATAGTATTCTAGTCAATGGGAAAATAGATGAGTTGATGAAGCAAACCTACCACATAGTCTTCTAGAATTGAGGAAATTATAGCTCATCCACTGGGCATTCAAAAAATATTGGTTATTACATTGTTGAGTTTAATTTCTTTATTGAATTACCTAGAAAAGATGTTCAGGGAAGTTCATCAAGACTTCATAACTTATGTTTGGGGCATAGACATTAGATACAATGGCACTATTAGTAGAAAACTATCTTGAATTAAGTTCTTTAGTGGTATTGGTTTTAATTTTGCTGGCAAAGTTGAGGCAAAATAAATAATATCATAAATATATGAAACTTGTTATTAAATAAGATTAAATATTGATATAGTAGACAGAATATTAATAAAACTATTGTTGGCATAATCATTAGTGATATAAATTGTCATAAAAGGCTCAATGAAAATCATTTTAAAAAATAAAAACATGTTAAGTACCTGAAGAGAAGATAATTATGTTTAGGATTTCTATGGTTTGCTCATTGTAAATAAAAGTTAAATCATATTGAGTATTTTCTCAGTTCAGGACCTAATGTTTGAAATTAGGTGCATCTTGAAATTGATGGTACTTTCATTTTAATAACATCCTTATTTACTTACACTATAATTCTAAATTTTTAGGATGCCCAGTTGGTTGTAGTGAAAATACCCTGTAAAATGTAATATTTTATATTTTACTTGTCACTTCAGTCTTAGAGTGATGTTGAATTGTCTGTAGAAATTAGCAAATGGAGATGATAGGATTATGGCCATTACAAATTTAAAGTAATAACACACTTTAACATTTACTCTCACTCTAAGACTTCAAACAGCAAGTGGATATAGTCAAGTTGAAGATTTTTCTCTGAAATTGTTTAAGTAGCAAGAAAACTGGCCGTCTAAATCACAAAATCAGCAAAACAAAAAGGTAAATGTGAATCTTTACTTCTCTCCCTAGATATGAATATCCCATGTGGATTTTCTGGGTTGTCTGGATTGCAGGTTGTTGTGTTGACAGAATTTAAAAGTTTCCTTCTAGATTGACTTAAATCAGAACAAAATATCAGGTTCAGCCCGTGTGAGTTATAGTTTGTAACATTAGGCAAACATCAGAGAATTTAGCTATGCTTTGGATTTGTTCACTTCTTATAGGTGTCTACATTGTGATAACTTATAGTTAATAATTGTCAAAAAGTTTGAAATTGCAATATTTTTACTCTTGGTGAGAAGGAGGGAAATATGAAGGATTTTTCATGTCTCTCAGATATATTGGCCTATTCTCCAAATGACAGGTTCCTGACTGATCAACTGTACCACCTGCTACTAAAGCTCAGTAATATTAGTCTCTGCAATGGTTTCATTCTCATCTCACACCTCAGAGATCTTGTGCTCAACCCCAGGCATCCCTTGTGTGTTTAAATCAGCTTAACGGCTCATACAGTGTGCTGATTTCCTTGTAGGCCTCTGTTTTCTCAAAAAGTGATCACCTTTTGCCAATGCCCTCAGGATTAAACAGGGCAGTCTGGTTTTCCTTTTCTGCATTGGCTATACCTTTGTAGTCAATAAAAGACTAACTAGAAAAGAATCAGCTGATGAGAGAATCAATCTTCTGGAAGCCTCCCCACAGTTTTCTCATCATTTTTGTGCCGTCTGTCATCTCAGATTGTAAAATGGAAACCAAAACTCAGTATGTGGGAAGACTTTTACTGCTCCTTGTTAACAAAAACAGTAAGACCAGGGGTTTTGATCTTATGAGTGTATAGGTAAACAGTAAGCTGTAAGTGCACACTCTTGAAGTGGCTTTTCTCTGTTTCTAATGGAGGTTTGCAAAGAATTATCAAAGTGGTATCAAAAAGGTCTCCTAACATACTGTAGTGTGGATATCCATTCTGAGGAGGTCAGGTTAAATCTGAAGGTCTTATAGATGATGATACTGGGGTACCTTGCGGTACAGCAAGCAATACAATATGCTTCTTAATAATAGTCATAAAAATAGACAAATGTAAAACAGGATTTTTTTCCTGCATATTTATATCAGATTATATTGCATTAATTTATTTCTGTAGCAATATATTTTAAATCAAGTGACATTTTGTCTCATTTAACTTTTATTTAAACAACTTTATCTCACATAATTTGCTTTATTATGGACTATTCAAAAATATCTGTGAAATACATTCAGATTACTTTGGCAGATAAAGGTTATTTCTTCATACACCCCACTGTATATATTTCCTCTGGCATCAGAGAATCTGAAAATAATTTTTGTCCTTCCTTTGCTTTATGATTTTAGATCGTTTGTAACTTGAAAGCACAATGAGAAAAGTGAATTTGAACTTGCTAACTGATCCTATTAAAATACAAAATAGGATTTGAAATTTGCTTTTTTTTTTTCCTGTTCAGTTCAGGCTTTCAGTCAGTTATAATGCTATCAGAACTGTTTAGTTTCTCCCTCTGGTAATATATAACACACCTTTAATAAAAATAAAAGTACATTTTTAGTATCTTGAAAGGTGCAATATCTATTGTAAATTCTTCTGAGATGCATCATATTATTCAATTATAAAGAAGCACAATGATTTCATTACTTCTTTTCAGTGTCATTGAAATAGCCCAATGATTGAATTGTTACTGCTTACTGGAGCTGGGAGTACGGTTTGGTAAGAACAAGATTGGCATTTTTCTATTGCTTATTAGCTTACTTGTTACTAGAAATTTGACTATGTCAAAGATTGAAGATATTTAAAAATTTTTGGATCTGTATATGGATTTGTAGGGAAATAACAATATTCCTTGAAAGGGAAAATACATTTATTCCATTTTTCTAAGTATCTGGAATTTATTTCAATTTGATTCGTGTATGAAGTTTGGTGCTAAAAGAAAAACTGGGTTATTAGTTCATCATTTTATTGCTTTTATCATTAATATTGGTTGACTATTCATAACGTTCTTACCATTACTGTTGACTGGTTTCTCATAAAATGTATAATCTTTTTCTGGAAAATATGTAATTTTGTAGTATTTTTGATAATGCAAAATATCTAAACTTAATCAAATAATCTGAAACAGATTAGTCACAATATATTTATACTTTCTATATTTTCAAGCTAGTTCTGTCAATATTTGATATTGCCTCTTTTTCTCATTGTAAATTGTCCTTGGTAGTTTGAGTTTAATCTTTATTTTATTTAGTTTTATTTTCCCCAGTCACTTACTACAGCTAAGATTTCCTGAGAAAATAAGGCAGACCCCTTTTTCTTTCTGATAGCCCATACTTTAACATTATTTTTAGTGTTGCTTTTTCACAAAGAATCTAAATGCTAAGATGGCAGGATCCTCACCTGTCATATCTTAATGGTATCCCCTATGTCTGACACATAGAAAGTGCTTAATTAATAGCTGTTGATTCAATAAAAGATGGAACTGATAGAGGATGCTTATATCTGAGAACCCTAGAAATTCTTAGGTATCTTAATACCTAGGCTGTAAAAGTTGTTATGGCATGTGCTACTATTACGTGCAAAATAGTATTACTGTTTTCAAGGTGTTTACCAAAATTAGTTTTTGCATTAAGAGTAGTGAATTGGGATGGAGAAATATTACAAGGATTCTCTTCTTTATGTTATATATCTTGTCTCTACTCAAGGAAAGACACTTCTATAAAAGACGAAGTTGGTTGTACTTCCCATGAAACCATTACTTGAAGACACATGTTTGCATAATAGCAATGAGACAAAAAGTGAGTAATTCAGTCAATGATATTATATTCAAGTTTTTATGTCCAATATATTTTAGCTGATTTTTAATAAGTGTTTGTTTTAATGTTGTATACACAAACTGATGGTGATGCTATCCAAATAAATGTTATATCATGTGCCACATAATGACATTTCTGTCAGTCATGAGCTGCATGTGCAATGGTGGTCCCATAAGATTTTCATATTATATTTTTTATAGTACCTTATCTGCATTTAGATACACAAATACTTGCCATTGTGTCACAATTGACTGCAGTATTCAGTACAGTAACATGCTGTACAGGTTTGTAGCCTAGGAGCAACAGGCTATACCACATAACCGAGGTGTGTAGTGGGCTATACCATCTAGGTTTCTGTAGGTACACTCTATGATGTTTGCACAAGTAAATTGCCTAATGATGCCTTTCTCAGAACATATCCCAGTGACATATGACTGTACTTAACTGAACTCTAGTTAGGGCATGAGTTGCTACTCTCATTGGCATCTTGCAAATGTTAGGTTGCTCACAGTATTGCTGTCAGTGTAGATGGAATAGGGCATAGAATTAAGCATTCTAGACAAGGGGAAAATAGCAAGCCTACTGTAAAATTACATATATGTACAGGGACTATATACATGCCATGCAAAAGTGTTCTTTTTAATCTTATAACTAAGTAAGATATATCTTACTTAAGTAAATGAATAAATAACAACATCAGTGAAAAATTTGCAGGCTTAATAATTTTGGTGCCAATTTCAGAAAAATTACTATAATGTTCTACATCATTCACCTGTTTGACAGTGACCTGTGCTTTTCTTTTCCAATTACATATAGTTTTCATATCTAATGCCCTTGTCTTCAAATTTTTCATCTTCTGGTAAGTGAAAATACATTGTACTATTTAAAGTACTGTGTCCATCTAATATAACCAAGCCTTCAAACCTACATAGAATCCTTGATAAGAATTTAGTATTCAAAATTCTATTACTTCCTTTTACTATTGCTATGGTCAACTCATGAGACATTAGCAGTTTGCCTGGAATAAGACAAAGTACAAGTTATAAATTAATAAAGAAAGCATATGTAGTAATAGAGGCATTGGTGATATCTGATTATGAGTAATTCCTAATTATGTTATTGATATAGTAATAATTTATATAATTAATTACAATAATTTATTGCTGTATTAATGAGATAGTAAAATAAAATATTTATTCACCTTTCACCCTGTTTCAAAATAAGAATTTAAAGCAATATGTGAAGAGCCATACAACAAAATACAGAAGAACTTTTAAAAGTTGAATGAATTGAGGCAAAGAAAAAAATAAGATATAGAAAAAATCATTAAATCTGTAGGGAAATTTGGTACACAAAATGCAAGATAAATTTGCTACCCTGGTAGAGATGCGTCACACATTGGCTTTAAGCTTCCAAGTAGCATATATATGCTATATATATGCTATATATGTATGCTATATATAATATATATATAATATATATAGCATATATAATATATATAGCATATATAATGTCTGTTTATATATATAAATGTTATTTATATATGCTATATATATATAAATTACGAGTTACATAATTCATAATATCCGTCAAATAAAAATAATCTAGTTGCCTTGGCAACACAGAAATACTGATAACAAAGGTAAAGTGGGTCTCCACTGAGCAGGCACTGTCTAACTTCGGGAATACTGTCTACAGGGAGTAGAGTAACCAGTTTCATATGGCTACTTCTTATGATATTCCTCAGTAGATGTTGATGACATCTTAGAAAAGTATAGTTTATAGAAAGCTATTTTACATTTATGTAAATATGTTTATGTTAGCCAATACCCTTACAGAGAGTGGAATTATGCAGGATCCTTATCAATCACCCTCAAAATTAAGAAGAGAGGTAAAAGGAAAGAAATGCATTGTTCCCTGCCATAGATGCAAACACACTGGAGGTGGTTCTTAACCTGAGGTTCAGGAACCAAAAGGCCTATGCAGAGAATCCAAGGGGTCACAAACATGGTGGGAACAATTATATCTTAATTTTTACTAGCCCCTAATTGAAAATTAGCATTTCTTTCAATTATGAATGTATGTAAAATCCATTGTAATCTTAGCTGTACCTGGGCCTTTTTTATCTATAGAAATAACAGACATTTTCATATCATATTATACTTGAGGATGCATCAAAATATTGTTCATGCTTATCCTTATCGAGATATTTAGTAGTTATTAGACCTATCACTTAATCTTGATATTTAATGTATTAATAATTAAGCATATATAATTCTATAATATGAATTCATTCTTCTAATATTTTGGTTAACTATGTTTTAATATAAGTTGTTTCTCTTTATAGTCATATTTTTAAAAATAAAATATTATCAAATAAGTTATCCATAAACCTTGGAGTGTAGCCACAAGGGCCTATGGTCCAACACGACTGAGAGGCAGAACACAAGAGACCTAGGTTCCTGACTGGTCTTCTGCCAGTCTCACCACTAAACTATTACTGGGTGTATTTGTTTTCTAATTCCTCAGTAACAAAGTACCACACAAATTAGGTGGTTTTAAAAGACAGAAATGTATTGTCTCACAGTTCTGGAGGTTAGAAGTCCAAAATCAAGGTGCTGAGAGGGCTATGTTTCCTCCATGATTTCTGAGAAGTATTCTTGTTTGCCTTTCACGGCTTCAGGGAACTCCTAGGCATTTCTCGTCTTGTAGATATATTACTCCAAAACATACCTTTCTCTCACATACTCACCTGGCATTTTCTGTGTGTGCCTGTGTCTTCACATGGTCTTTTCTCTTTTTATAAGGACAACAGCCATAGGGGATTGAGGGCCCACCCTACTCCAGTATGACCACATCTTAACTAATTACATCTGCAATGATGTTATTTCCAAGTTAGATCACATTCACTGGTATGCAGGCTTAAACTTCCATATATATTTATTGGGGGGACACTATTCAACCCATGCACTTGGGAAAAATGTCTATTTCTATATCTGAAGTCATTCTATTTTGTGGCCTCTGTTTTATGAACTCAGTCTATACCCAAACAGATATACTTTGCAACCAAAATTAAGATGAATTCGATGTTAGTTACAGAACTCTTGTGAGGTATTGATTGCTCAAACAAATAACTACCCATAGATAGTTTTTTCAGTCTATGATCACTGTGTTCCCTGGTCAATTGACAAAGTAATTCCTCTAGGGCAATCCAGCCTACATTCTGTTTTTGGTAATAAAATTGTATTGGAGTATAATCCCATTCATTCATGTATGTATTGTCTATAGCTGCTTTAACATTACAATGGGGCAAAATTGTGTAGCTGCAATAGAGACTGTATAGCCCACAAAGCCTAACATATTAAGTATCTGACTCTCGTAAAAAATGTTTGCTGACCCACTCCCTACGACATAAGAGAGATGACCAAGAGGTATGTCTTATTTTAGCATGTGTTTTTTGTACTATGAGGGTGTAGGAATCTTATTAAATCAGAACTCAAAGAATAAACCAGATAAGAGAACATGAACTAGACCTTAAACTGAGCCTACAAATTGCTAAAACATTTCTAGTTACAGGACACATTTACCTGTCATTGAAATCAATTATCTAAGGATAACGTTAGGAAGAAAGCACAGTTTCCAAGTTTCTTTAATAATAAGAAAGCAACAATAAATTAAAACTTGCTTGTAATAGGGAAAAATGGCTATTTCGAATCAAGAGAGTGAAATTCTAACAAGAACAATCATTGTTATAATTGTATGATATTTCTTACTTCCACTAGCATTATTAATGGGACTACCGTTTGACCTGACAATGAGAATAGCTTCCCTTGTGGCATTTTGGCAGTTCTATTTCTGTTCTTTGAGAAATAAGGAACAGACAAAGGATAAAAGTCCTTGCTTGAGCTGCTGAAACAATAAGATAATGTGAAGACTCTCCAGTTACTCCAGAGCTCAAAGGACCCCATTTTTATGGCTTCTTGAGAACTGGAAGCATGATGGACACTCACAGAAAATACGTTAGTTCCCTATAAATCAGCAGTCATGTAGGGGAGTATCACTGCATGTGGGGTCCTATAGACAAACGAGTGTAGCAAGGAAATTTCCTTTGAAAAGAAAAATCATGTGAAACAATAACAAAAGACCACAGACTAGAGCTGAATATTAGATGTTTTGGGTGTTTTGCAGCAGGAATAGGAACTTTGCTAATCATAGGCTCAGCTAAGTTACTACAAGCACAAGGACCTTATTGTCATGGCCATATACCTCCTGAATCATACACCTCCTGTTAAAAGGATTCTACTTTAGAATGTTGTGGTGATTCTTTGATGAATAGTTTTTAACATGCTGGGGCAAAAAACAGAAATGACAATATAGTTGACACAGGTTCAAGAATAGGATTAGGGCACCAAGGTTTGCCCTAATGCCAGAACTTAGCAGATCTTAAAAAAATACTAGCAAACTTAAGTCCAAAATCATGACAGACATTTCAAATGGGGAAACATTCTCCTACTACTACCCTGTTATTGCCTGAAATTATGGTATCCCTTGATCTAGCCTATAATGAACTATTACTTTTTAAGGAATGTTTTCTTTCATCATTGTCTTTTCAGTTCCTTCCATTTCCATCCTCTCCTTCTCTTCTGACTTGTCATTCTGTTTGAATGCTTTCATCTGCTGAGAGATGTGATAAAATATTACTACACACAAAATGTGTGAAGATGTGAAAAAGTATAACAAAGGCCTTATTAGATGTTTTTCTAAAGTCTATAGCAAAGAAAGTAAATTTTAAATGAGAGTGGAATAACATTTAGCACAGATACTTGAAGAATAGCATATTTCACTCTGAATAACTTACTCAAGGAAGTCACACACCGAATTTGAAAGCCCATGGAGTCTCCTTACAAAGGCAGACCAAGCATGCAGTGTACACACCTGGATCTTGAAAATAGAATCAATAAGAGGAAGGAGAGTGA